AACGTGTTGGAAAACGCAATCGTTTATTTTGGAATTATATTATTATTATTTAATTTGAATTAAATAATTGAGTTACAACTAATACAATATAAGTAATAGAAATAATGCGTAAACCTTGTGTGCATATATTGTTATTAGCAACAACTGTTGTTAGAATAACATGAAATCACCGTCATCTGTTTCCGTACACTCAGAAACAAGCCCGGAAAGAAATCATTATGTTTGCTGACGTCGGTTTAAAAGGAAGTAACGTTATTGAATATGCGGAAGCTATTCTACCACCGAAACGACCGTTTTTTCCAAAACCGTTACAGAAATTCAGCCTCGCAAATTAAGTTTGATATTGTCGATCTCCATTATATTCGGCTACTTATCTGAACATCTTTCAGTAAGCTCCTCGTAGAGCGCCACTTTGCTTACTACACGAGATTCGATCGGTGCCATTTAAGTTACCGTTCACATGTACGTATATAGGTATGCTGTTATACACTTGCAATATAAAAAAACATTCATGAGTTCATACTCTCTCTTCTAGTGAATTAATCTACTACTATTTTCAAATATACCTATGCGAAGTGACCCACATGTTTCATTACGCCCAATGAAATCATATTAAGGATTAGTCTCATATGCAGCTAATTTGGCGCTTCTGACAATGTAAACAACTCATCAATAATTGACATGTGATCTCTCTTTTGCAGGTCATGTCAGTTTAATATAAGACGCCGCCGTCATACGAAGTGCCATTCATTGTAATCTTGGAATAGGACTTATCTTTAAATTTACATTCTCTGGGCTTTACCTACCATCGGTGAGTTACTGCCATTCATAATATATATATATATATATATATATATATATATATATATATATATATATATATATATATATATATATATATATATATAATACTAAAATAATGCACATATTACATAAAATTGTTAAGAATGATGCTCTAAATTCAGTGTTCAATATCATTTCTGGATTTTGACAGAATTATGAACATATATTCTTTGGAATATGATATCAGACGTTATATACAACAAGGTAATAACGGCATGCATTCTATGTTTTTTCTGTCGACCAGCAGACTTTTTGTGTATTAATAAGTGTCTTCTCATTCTGCTCAGAATCAATGAACACATCATCGAACTCAAGCGTTGGCAATTTAACGGATATGGACTACAGTAGTTATGAAGGATACGTTGATAAGTTCACCGAACCGAGGGTTATTAACGGTCTTATAGTCGCGTATACATTAGTGTTTGTGCCGTGTATCTTGGGTAACGTATTGGTAATATACGTAGTCTCCGCCAACCGATCTATGAGAACAGTAACCAACTTCTTTCTTGCCAATTTGGCCGTCTCTGATCTATGTGTGGGAATATTTTGCATACTGCCAAGCATGTTCTATTACATAAGTCCTAGCTGGTTTTTAGGCGACATTATGTGCAAGCTAATGTTTTTCATGAGAGGGGTCACTCCGTCCGTCTCTATTGTGCTATTGACTGTAATATCGGTTGAACGGTTTATTGCTATTACCTTACCAATGCATAGCAGAAGGATACTAACTCTAACTAGAATGCGAGTTGTAATCGTCTTTGTTTGGATACTCGGACTCGGATATAACGCCCCTCTCTTATTTATATATAGTGCATCCCCTCTGCCAATGTTTGGCAACAATACTTTATGCGTAGTGGATATGTACAGCAGACCAAGCCTGTTAATGTTCACATCGGTCGGTGCAAACCTTAATACGGTACTGTGGTACCTTCTACCGCTAACGATTATGCTAATACTGTACTCGATAATAGCCAGACGCCTATGGATAAGCAGCGGACGTGGGCATATGTCTTTGAGTGAGCCGTCGAAAAAAGTGAAAAAGAAAGACAAAAACTACAAGCCATCTAATCTACACGAAAAAGGGTGCCTTATTAATTATACACGCGGAACTAAAAGAAAAAATGGCATATATGCTTCGCCTGTTGTTCAGCATTTACAGGCATCCAGGGACCAGAGCGATATATCCGACATATCATCTGCTTCTTCAGAAGGAAGCATTAGGGTAGAGCCTCGTAGGCTGAGAAAAACAAACTTTGTATTATTCAAACAAGTAGATAGGTGTCGAGAGAAGGAAAGTGAAGCGCAGTGTTCAGCAAATTTCAAAGATAGCAAAGATGAAATCAACAAAATCAGTGATAGTATGAATAGTTCCCGGGAAAGATATTCCAACCTTCAATGAAACTAAAAGGGATTCAAACCTGTATGCCGACATGTGTGAAACAACAACGTTATCGGATCCTATTCATTGTAAGCAAAGTTTATTACAGACAAGAAACATATTTCTTATGCCTGCCAAATCGGAAAACAATTTGTCTGACGATGACAGTTATATAAAAATCTCTGAAATAATTCATAAAAAATTCAAATCCGCCAGTCAAATAAATTACAATGTCGATGTGAACGAAGAGGAATTAATACAAGCGCGCGAAACTCTCCAAATTAGAAACGTTGACAACTTGAGTGAAAGAAGTGCGAATGAAAGTAACTGGGAAGTAAAGAATATTCGAATAAAAAGCCGTGATATAAATCACTATAGAAAACAGTATTCGCAAGATGCACACAATGACCCAATTTGGAAGCCAAGAATTCCCGTGAAAGATCTCATCCCCAAAGATGTGGATATGATACAAGTTAAGTCGACTATGATTGCACCTCGAGTAGACAAGCTTGATACAATGGTCACAAAAAATGAGCCTAAAAAACATTACATAAAGCTGATAATTGGCAATCGACGAAAGAAGACAAAGAGACCACAGTTATTTCATATACGCAAGAAAAAAGTGTCCACATGTTCAATGGCATCACGTGACTCTGCATTGGATTGTAACGACACACAGCCTAGATTGACACGAACACGAAGTATTAATGAAGGCGTATTAGCAGCTCGTAAGAAAGTAATTCGACTGCTTGTGGCCGTTGTTGGATCATTCGCAATTTGCTTGTTTCCCCAACAAGTAGCCAATGTGTGGATGTCTTTCTTTTTCGAAACATATCCATATAATTCATATTTCGGATCTTTGTTCGTGCCAGCTTGTCAAATAATGTACTTTATGAACAGCGCCCTCAATCCTGTGTTGTATGCATTTCTCTCGGATAACTTTCGGCGGAAAATGAAAGATGCCGTTTTTTGTCGCAGTGGCAGAAAGCTGGCAGCCAGACGACACCTCAATCGTACAAAATGGCAAAAAGTCAGTAAATACGAAAGTTCCGATGTTTAAGACTTGAATATAGAGTAGTATTGTGAAGTGGTGAATAAATATGTTAATTACATTCGTTTTACCATGATGTCAAGGAAGCTGCAAATATCAATGAAATAAACAAGGCTACATTGAATTTGTCATTGTAATCAAAATTAACAATACATATCGCGTACAAAATTCACCAAATATAGATATTAATTGTGTATAATTCCATCCTATTGAAAACCTGTCTCGATGAGTCGACGCTATGTCGGATAAAAGTACAATTACACCCGATAAAGTTATTGATTTCACAAATAATGTAATATTTGATATCATGTATCTGCACGTTATGCACATTTATGGGATTATCGAATGAGTCACTGTAAATTTTCGAATTAAATATGTCATCAAATATTTACCCTTTAATTCGTACATTAATAGCTGTACATTTTACAACACCATCTCATGGAATACGTTCAATTAGCTTGAATGAACGTGGCTCTAAGCTTCATTTAATGAAATCATAAACTAATTAAACACAAAACGTGTAGCACCTATAAAAAATCAACTAATTATGTTCTATATTTAAACAAATAATTTATATTTATAGCCAATGTGAAATTATGCGAATTTGATTAAAAATTAAGAAAGAAATGTTGGGAAATACATACAATTGTTGTACCAAACTGTTGGCGGGAAAAATCAACAAAACAGATCTCACTCCGAGCTTTCATTGTAAATGACGTAGTACTATAGTAATTACACAATCACAACCCAACTATTTTAAATGTCTTTTACATAACCAACTAAGCGTCACCTGAATATATATATATATATATATATATATATATATACATTGACTAGAAACCTTGCACGAATGACAGATCCATACAGACAGTAAGCTGGTGATATATATCACACTTAAAACAGGCTTTAATTTGACAAATTGAATCTAGGAAAGAGTTTTTATTTCATCCGTGAGATAACACAGGGTATTTTTTTGCCAATTTGAACATCAACATGGACTTTACAGATATTTTTCAGTTCTATTTATCAATTATGTAACATAAGGGATATAATTATGAGGGGGGAGATTATGGACTCATCACATCCCCAAATCAATTTGTCTGCACCTACATATGTATTTGAACATTAAATGCAGTGTATACCTTTGTATCAGTGGGAATTCATGACAAATACAAACGAGATCGCTCGATTAAAACATTATAACTATTCAAACTACTGTTGGGTGAATGAATGTTGGGTGAATGAATGTTGGGTGAATGAATGTGAAAGAAGAGTCAATGTTTAATACAACTATCAGATTTTGAGATGTTCGGACTTATTTCTAAGTATATCTAGTTTGTTTTACTACAACCAAGAGTTTTTATTCGCGTTGTTTAACTGTTGTATATCATAAGATTTATATTAATATCATTTAGCCATTGTCAATATACAAATAACGCCTTAACATATTAAGCTACGTGTGGCCTAGAAAATACGGATATACACGTTTTTAGAAACGTGCAGTCGGTAATTTCAAAGACGTTTCTATGGTAAAGTGTTAGTCCTGGCATTATGAGCATAATTTATTGTAACACAAACCATACCCCAATAGTAATAATAGTATTTAGTTATGCTACAAATTTGAAATGACAACATACAATACACACTGTCAGTTATAGAAGCATCATTTCCGTAATTTTGTTGAAAATTTTGAACGCGTTCACATTTTGATTTATATACCAATGATTTGCATATAGAAATTATTATGATAGAGGTATTTGTGCTACTCAGTAGGCACAAACAAATTGTATGAACTGAACCATATCCACTCTCCCGTGGAGATTATATTAATGTGCATATTGTAATTATGTAATTTGAGAGATTATATTAATGTGCATTTTGTAATTATGTAATTTGAGAGATTATATTAATGTGCATTTTGCAATTATGTAATTTGAGTCAAGATTGCTATAGTGTATACTATTATGTAAGTACCAAGACTATTGGTTGACATTTATTTGAATTTAACCAAATTTGTTTAGATTTATCTGATATTATGTGAATAAAGTAGACATTAAAATAACTAAATGACTTGTTTGTATTAATGTTAAAAGTGTTTTAGACGATATCACGTAACCTATCAATGTGTATTACAATATACTGGTTATGCCCTCCAAATCTGTGTATATTAAAATGTGTTTCAATATTTCAATCAAACATTCCACATTATAAAAATAATTAACTGTTTAGGACATTTGAACCAGACTTGTAGCCAATAGAAAAGGATGTACATTTTGACTACAATTATAACAAAAATACTGAGAAATTTGCAAAACCAACAGGTTGACTAAAGCAATTATTAGATTTGAATAATTAATTGGTAAATTAATGCTATGTTTGATGGCAATAGAATGGCAAAACAGAAACAGTTACTAATATTGGATTGATTTTTAACATCAAACATATTTTATCTTTAAGAATTCATGGACGCCTGCAAGAAATGCCCGACTTGTGTGATTATTGGTGTAATATAGAAATGTGTGATTATTGGTGTAATATAGAAATGTGTGATTATTGGTGTAATATAGAAATGTGTGATTATTGGTGTAATATAGAAATGTGTGATTATTGGTGTAATATAGAAATGTGTGATTATTGGTGTAATATAGAAATGTGTGATTATTGGTGTAATATACAAATGTGTGATTATTGGTGTAATATAGAAATGTGTGATTATTGGTGTAATATAGAAATGTGTGATTATTGGTGTAATATAGAAATGTGTGATTATTGGTGTAATACAGAAATGTGTGATTATTGGTGTAATACAGAAATGTGTGATTATTGGCGTAATACAGAAATGTGTGATTATTGGCGTAATACAGAAATGTGTGATTATTGGCGTAATACAGAAATGTGTGATTATTGGCGTAATACAGAAATGTGTGATTATTGGCGTAATACAGAAATGTGTGATTATTGGCGTATACAGAAATGTGTGATTGTTGGCGTAATACAGAAATGTGTGATTATTGGTGTAATATAGAAATGTGTGATTATTGGTGTAATACAGAAATGTGTGATT